CCTGTTCAGTTTCTTGGTTGGGTTTTTAATTTGTAATATTTAATGATCAGGTTGAGTTTTGTTGCCATTGAAATTATATCAAGTTCAGGAAATTCATCATTCTAATTCTTTTGCTAAAAACTATGTATCCAAAATTCCAAACTTGCTTCTAACTTGATATGAGTTACAATGCTTGTCTATCCATTTTTAGCCTATCAATATCAGGAATCTGAATCTTTACAAGATCACAAGTTTCAAATTTAACACATGTTTTTTAGTTTTATATCGTTTTTTCATTAAGATTATAAATCATTTGACTGTTCTGGATAACATGTCAATTTGCTACCATGATTTGTTTATCATTTAGTCTATCGATATTTCCAACTTTAATTAATTTAAAGGTACTGGTATTAAGAACCCAATATTTAAAGTTTGAAATTTCATGTTTACTTGACAGGTTTCATAAAATAGCCAGGCAATGATCATACTTTGAATGATTTATTATGTCTTCTACTGTTCATATAATCATCATCGATTTTTTGAAAGCTTTGAAATGAAAGAACAAAAAAACTAGTGAAGAATTTGAAGCCATATTATAGAAGATAAAATAACAAAGAATTTTTTTTTTATAATTTATTAAACTCTTATATTAAACTTGAGTTTAATTGATGTATGTAAGTTACATATTAATTAGTATAATTTTTAAAACTATATATATTGCATTTTAATCAGTATAAATTTTAAACTCAAGTATGTTAATTTTGAATTAATGGTTATTTAAGAGCAATGTATATACAACATAGATATATAGCATTATATATAATAGCGTGTAAGTATGCATTGCCAAACAAGAAGTCTTGCATAACCATTGCTGATGTAAAATCCGAACACTAAGTCTCTGCATTGCTGTTACCTAATTACTTAATGAAAGGCCTCTTGCATTGCTATTGTCATGGAGTCTCTTACAAAACAATGAATCTATGAATCTTTTCTCATGAGCTTAATACAAAAAGGAGGTTCTGAAATGGGCTATTCAATGGGCCAGCCAATTTTGAATTCACTCTTATAGACAAAATAAAAGATTCTCGTACTTGAAGCTTAACTACAAAAAAAAAATTCTTGTAGCACTATCACTGCAATGGTGTTTAATCACCAAACAAAAACTCTGTACTGCAATTGCCGTAGAGTCTACTGTGATATAATGCCTTGTACTGCTATTATTATAAAGCTTAATTACAAAACAAGGTCTTGCTTTGCTCTTATAACCTCAGAGCCTAATCACTAAATAAAAAATCCTTATATTTGATTACTAACCACCAAATTAAATGTTCTTGCATTGCTATCACAATGAGTCTAATCACCAAGTATAAGATCCTCACACTGTTATTACAGCCACAAAACCAAACAAGCAATTCTTGTATTGTCATTGTCTAATTATCAACTAAGAGATATTTGCATAACCCACAATAGTCACAAGGCCTATAAATCAATCTCAACAATCAGAAAATGCCTGTGTCTAATGAGATACCATAAAGACTATGACATAAAAAATCATTAAGGTTGATTGAATATGTAACTCTGTAAAGTTATTTAACCTTGCATTTGTTAAACTTTCCAAATTACTGGTCTCCTGATAATCGTTTATTACAAAGAAACCTGAAATTTTGACACTTTTTTATTAATAAATCTAAATCTAGTGAGTTTATATTATTTCACCAACAATTACTCTAGATGCATTACATTTTACAGGCAATTAATTTATAGACAAGTTTATTTCGTAAACAGTAATAGCTCATGTCATTTAATTCTAATTCCAAATGAATTACTTTGCAAAAAAGCAACTGGTAAAATATATTGTCTATGAAACAAACTTGTCTGTAAATTAATCATCTGTAAAATAAGCCTGTTAATGAATGTGCATCTGTGAAATGTGATGTCTTTAAAGTAATTGTAGATAAGTTGATCAGAACTGATGAAACTAGTTGGAGTTATCTAGGGCAGCTATAAAAAATGCAGATAACAAAATTCTTATTTGGCGAAAATTAATATTTTTATTTTTTGAATCCAAAAAAAAAATAAAAAAAACAATTGGCCTCTTTATAGTAAAATTGGTTTAGAAAGTGTTTTTAATTAATGGGTATCAGTAGAATTTCGTACAGTAAATAAATTCTCTGCATTTTTTATAGGCTACCTAGATGATTCAAACTAGTTGTTAAACTAAAAAAAAAAAAAAATCTAGCAAAATCTGATAAAACAATGAAACTACAAAACTGCAGAAAATTTTGATGATTAGTAGCGTTAGCTTTACAGTTTAAAATTAATAATCAGTAATATTATATTTGTATTATATTGCATCATATTCTATATACATACATATATAAAAATCCTCACTCCTTGAATAAATAAAATTAATACACTTACTAAAAGAATTCTATGAAAATCAGACTAGAGATGCAGTAAAATTATTCGTCATGCTGCTGTAACTTGCTATAACTATATAGCAAGTAATATAGTAAATTACAGCATTATAGCTATAACTTACTATATATATTACTTGCCATAGTTACGGCAAGTTACAGCAGTGTGACGAACATTATTGGGACAATTCTATTGCATCTCTAACCATGGCCAAAAAGTTAAATAGAACCATCCCTCTCACATTTCATGCTACACATTTATGTGATCATATAGTAAAGTTAAAAATTTACTAAGAAATTTAACTTTTATATAATAAATAACACTTTTACTAAAACGCACCTATAGTGTTTTTACACCATAGATCCTGTTTCTCAAAAACATACTAAGTAAACGAAATCAGGTTCTCTAAGTAAAAATATTTAGGACCTCCTAAAAACTGAGATCAGGCCCTATCAGGCCCTTATATTAGCTCTATAATATATTATATAAAAAAAAAATAATTTTTAATTTCCTAACCCTAACTCTAAATTTTATTAAAAGAAATTATACATAGGTGTTAAAACACCATAGGTGCATTTTATAATAATTGATAAGTAAAGATGTTTAGAAGAATAAAATATTTATATTCTAAAATTTTCATGAAAATTGGTTGACTTTTTATTAATGCATTTCTTCATTTCTTCATTTCTTTAAAACTTTTAACAAAATGTAAAATAAAAAAATGTATTAATAAAAAAGTTATTTTATTTATATGAATATTTCAAATTATGTATATTCTTTTTTTTCTGTAAAAATCACCTAGTAAATTATTAATTTTCAAAAATTTTTTTTTAATTTTATAATTTACTTCTTTATAATCACATACATTTATAATTTTATATTATGTGATTTTATAGAGGTACTTTCATATAGTTACACTTCTATACTATCACCAGATAGGTATGTGCCCAACTGTGTGATTATAGAAGAGGATGACTGTATCAATTAAAGTTACAGTACGTATATCAATTAAAGTTACAATACATATATCAATTAAAGTTACCGTATATCAATTAAAGTTACATATATTTCTAATTAAAGTTATACATATTTCTAATTAAAGTGCTAATTATCGATTAATAACGTAGTGATCGATATATTACGATTTTGGTTAGTTCAATGATAATCGATAATTTGATCTATATCGATTTCTTACCCATTATCGATAATAAGCGATTTATGATATATATCACTAAATAACAAATTAATCGATGTTTAGCATTTAAATTTAATCGATATAAAACGATTAAGCATTATATATCATTATAAATCTACTTGAAAAAATTCATGATGTATTAACTTAGGTGGTTGAATATAAGTACTGCTATATTAAATCTTAGACAATATGTATCATATAATAAAGGTTCATTTTTAGATAAATACACAGAAGTCTATATATGAGTAAATCAGTTGTAGCCTGTAATTAGACATAAATGAAGGTTTATTGGGAAAGTATAATGATGTATCGGTTTATGCTACTGAACATCAGTTAGACTTTCATAGTAAACTTTTGCTTATACTTAATTACTCAGGATATAGCTTGTGGTTTTGAACTTGGTTAATATATATAAACTCACCAGAATTAACATGAAAATATATTTTAGAAGACATTGCTTCCTAATAATTGTTCAAGCGGTATAACAAAAAAGAAATTGTTTAGTGCTACGTATAGATTCAATTTCCTTCTTATAATTTCTATAATCTAATATATCTGATACTACTAATAATTTATAATTTCATTAGTAGATAAGAGAGCACAGAAAATAAACATTGGAGTGATTAAACTATGTTGGTTTACATGTCAATCGACTGAAAATTGCAAATTATACTTAATAAAAGTTAAGCTTATAATAGATAAGAGAAATAAATGAAACATGTACTGATCTTAATACTCTTATACTATGTTGCTCGAACTTATCTTTTCCTCACTAGTCTAATTGAAACTCTACAATTGGACATAAATCTTGTATCTTATTCAAGTAATAATATTAGCTACATGATACACGATCATATATAAATATATAAAAGAAATACACTAAAATAGCAGCCTAAAATATTTATAGGATCTTATAATTTTAATTTTTTCACAGATTACAGTATTGAAATAATCTTTTGTTATAAATTTTAAATTTAATCATTCCTTATTTGGACAAGTTCGAGCATTATGCCTCTTTTGACAACAGATACTACACTATCTTTGTCTATTATTTTTGAAGTCAATTGGCAGCATAGACAGTGAAATCACTACTATAACATTACTTGATCCTACACGTACATAGATAATAAAAGGTAATAAGATATAATACAGTACTTATATTATTTAACTATAAATACAAATTAACTAGTACCTGGTTCTATTGTATTCTCTTGAATGCTTTCATGATCTGAATCTATGATCAATAATTTTTCATTATAACCTACACGAATAGAATTTGTTAGTATTAAATTTAGATATATTAAATACAATTTTTGTTATTTATATTGACTATGCAATTAGCAATAAATTAATAACATAGTTAGGTGCATATATTAAAATTGTACTAATATAAATAAATTGAATAAACTTACCTCTTGATTTCTTCATTTTCTTCATTTGAATTAACATCCGACAGCTCTTTTTCCTTACAAGTTTTACTATTATAATCTATTTGTTTGCAAATCTTGCACTTATATTTAGTTTTGTTATTAAGCTTCTCTAATATACTCTTAATTCTTTTTGAACCTGATTTAGGTCGACCTCTTAACTGTCGTTCAATAGAATTTTGAATATCCATTATGCTGTTATTATAATTATAATTAAAATCATTACTCATATCATTATTAACAATTCTTTGTAACGTTTTCTTTAAATTGACAAAAAAAAATCAAGAATTTCACAATAAATTTCATCATTGCTATATTCAATTGCATTAACCATTATCCTTTTTCCTAATCCCCAAATTTTACCAAATTTATGTTTTTTTGATATAGCTTTAGATATTTCTTTATATAATTGTCCCGAACCACTATTTGCAAATATTTCAACTCTTATAGTATCAAATTCAGATAGTTCTATAAATCGTATAGACAGGGAATGTGCTTTTGATATCAATATCAATGTGTTTGAAGAAATAGCTATAAATTCATTATTTGATATATCAGACCCCTGCAGCATGTCTTTGTATCAACATTAATTTACCAAACCAATATAAAACCTCACGGTAGAAGTAAGAGTCAGAACACGATAAAAATGATGACATAGATAACTATGAGACTTAATGATCATACATGTGCAAAAAAATGTACCATCATTTAAAAGATATACAAAATAAGAAGAAACAGAATTTGCCTCTCAAATTTCAAGAATTATTAAGAAATTATTTATTAATAAACTCAGTTGTGTTTGTGGGCAATTGAATAAATTGTCAATACACTAATCTGATTTATCAACTTCCTAAATATTGTTAAAGTAAAAAAAATAAAAAAAATTAACAAAAAGAACAATACAGAGGTATACTATATACATGAGGTAATGTTAAATGCTACCTTTTCTTTAAAGAGTATAGCTTCAAGTTCAATTTTCTATAGCATGATAGCAAAGACTTAAGTCTATTTGCTCCTCTTGTTTTTTTATTACATTTGGTATTAAGAACTCAGTTAATTGATGCATTATGGGTTCAAAAATAGTCTTGGCTATGTTTTTGGTTCTACTTGTAGTATAGTTTGCTTCCAGTTAATAAACTCATAATAATTACATTTCTCTTGATATTTTTCTTCTAAAGCATCAAATAACTCGTACAATGAAAGGCTTAAACTTCCCAAAAGATGCTTTAATGTTGAATTTTCGCTCTCATTACAAGACGTTGACTGAACGCTAGCAGTAAACTGCCTATTAGTAAAAGCACGTGCCTATGATTAAATATTAGATCCCAAAGCTCTCATCAAGTAATCTTTTGATTGCGGATAATCTTGTAGTAGCTTCTCTCATTTTGAGATAAGTAAAATATTTAGATTATTTTTATTAAAAAATTTGCACATTATAATAACTACTTACTTCTCATTAAATTTTTTCTCTATTAAGCTATTTCTTGCTGCATAAAAATCCTTTATAAAAGAATTAAAATTAGAACTCTTTAGATTTTTTAGCAAATTTTGACTTATATGCCATTGTTGAGTTTGAAAACGGCAAGTCTGTCGCTAGAAGACCAGAATTCTCACGCTACGTCAATTTCAAGGCTTGAATAGAGGCGT